GAGGACTCGAGTTTTAAATAACTATGGAAACAACACAAATTTCTGTGTTTAGGTTTTCAGAATCAGTGTTTCTTTATCACATATTCTCTTAGTATGCTTTAACGTGTGTCTAACAGATTCAACTTTTACTGTTTATTGCTTTCATTGTATCTTTGTTTTTGCCACTAGGTTTCGGTGTTTTTGTTTTTTATGTTATCTCTGATATTTGTGAAATATATTTGAAAAATTTATCTATTATTGGTTGCAGTGTTATTGGGAATTCCCACAACTGAGGCACAAGATAGATGTAGAAAAGAGTTAGAGGCGGAGAAACAATGTGTGTTGCCAAAGTGTAGAGAAGAATGTTTTAAAAAGCTAAATGGATTTGGAAGTTGTATCGAGAAGCCACCAGGCTCTTATAAATACACATGTAACTGTTTCTACAATTGTGGTGCACCATAATTTTCAATTCAAATTACCAAACTCCATTTTTATAGATTATAACTTGGATTTGGAGACTAGATCTATTTTCAATAATTTATCATTCAACTTGTATGTTTGATATCCTATCAATATCTCTTTATTTATGAATTTTATTACAAGTTTCCTAACTTGAGAAGAGTGTTAAATATCTATATATATTATTAAGTTTTCTTAAAGTTGGTAGAGAATATTAATTTTCATTGAGTAATAAGAAGACGTCGTCCCTCATGAATTGCGGTAAATGCTTTCACTCCAATTGGTTAACTGATTGTCTTCTTCATAGAGATTTCATGTTACAAAATGTGCAAATAAATAAATGTTTTTTTTTTTGAAACTTTTCTAATAAATAAATGTTTCATACTAGATAACAAATATATTCATATAAATATTGGTACACTGTTTTTAATTTTAACCAACCTCGTGAGTCCACGACCTTTGAGTAAATTACCTCTTCCATGACAGCAAATAATTTACTCTTTTCAAATTTGTTTCTGTTTTTTCTTGCACCAACTTCTTTTTTTACCAACCAAGTTTTTTTTTCGATATTATTGTGATTTCAGTTTATCTTTTAGTTGCTTCTACATTATTCCATTTTATCCACTAGATATTTTTTCCTTATTAGTTACTGAAAATGTTTTAAAATGCAATTGTTCATAAAATAGGGTGAATAACT